ACACTGAGCTTCCCCATCTGATCATCTCTTTCTCTCCTGAACCCCTTGGTACCCTGTCTGGAGGACTAATTCATCATTTAAAAGTTACTATTTAAGGCCTCGCGTGGGCCAAGCAATGTCTCAGATGTAGATCCTCCCCAGGCCCTTTTTGTAGCTGAGGAGACTGAGGCTCATTGATTTGCCTGGTCATGCCACTAGTGAGTAGGCTAAGCTGAGATTTGAATCCACGTTTGTCTTAAGAGAAAATTCAATCCATATGCCCCAAAGTACTGTATACAGGAATTCACCTTTTATGCCTGTGTCCCAACTCCTCAAGTAGAGTTGAGTCCCTCTCTAGGTCAAAACCATATCCTATGAATGTTTGAGTTCACAGTCTGACCATGGTGCTGAAAATCAAAGGGAATCCTTTAGCATCCTTACTTGCAGAGAGGGGACCTTGCTGTCAATAGGTTTTCCCAGGGAAGCAGCAGTAAAGGCGGTCTCCAGCCAAGGCAAAAGGCGTGATTTGATTACTTCCACACCATCATAACGTCCTCCTAGAAGAATCCACAAATCAGGTCAGCGAGAGAAATCCAAGCATGCCAACTCAGTCAGAGCACACACAGAAAAGGGGTGGGGGCCGGATGGGAAAGCACAGGCCATTCTCACCTTCTTGAGCTGTTGTAGTGAGGATTCCAAAGAGTTGTCCCTGCATCTTGGCAACTTGTTCAATGAATTCCAGGCAAAAACTTAGATTCTGATCACATGAGTTTGTCTGCAAAGCCAAAACAGTAGACATCAGTGTCATTCTTCACCCGCATGGCAGGTAGACAAGGGCCTCACTTTATACCAGGGCTGCCTGGCTCAGGTATGCTCCCAGAGGCAAACACTGCTGTGCATTCACCAAAACACGGTTACCTTGCCTCCTGGGCACACAGCTAGAGCGCTTTCCCCAGCTTGTTTGTGGGGCCATGTAACTGAGTTCAGGTCCATGGGAAGGAAGGTGATGTGACCCCGAAGAAAACCTCTTGAGGGATTCTCTTCTTTTTTGCTTGCCCCATCTGCCAGCCAATTGCAGAGGACCCCAAAGGCTTAGCGGGTGATAAAGCCACAAGATTTGGGAAGCTGCTAATTGAACACTTACAATGGCTGTTACATAACTGAGAAAGTGTACTTGTGGGTCTTAAACCACTGAGGTTTGGGAGTCATTTTAATATCATTAACCCTGACTCATTATTACTCAACAGAATCCTGCACCAAGTCCTTTCATAAAGTGAATAAGCCTTTTATAACAGTACAAATCACTGCTCCCTAACTTACCTGCTGTATTGGTTCTTGTCCTCTATATAAGTTCCATATGTACATAATGAACACTACTTGTTAACAGTAAGCAGGTATTGCTGGATTGAGGATAATGGAGAATAAGACAAAAAAGATGGGCCGGGCCATATGGCACTTGCAGACAAGTAGGGGAGACAAGAGATAGACAGCTATCCTGCAGTGGGATAGTCAGTCTTACCATGGGGGTGAACACAGGTCTACTCAAGAGCCCATTGTCTTCGAAAGTCAGAGAAGACTTCTTTCCAAGAGGAAGTATAATCTAGGTGAGAAGAAATAGGCAGACTAGGGGAAAGGGTTGGTTCAAGTGGCTGTGGAACATCTAAGCAGTAAGAGCAGAGCATGAAGAAGCCGAGAGGTAGGTCTTGTCGCTGTTATCCTGCTTTTGTCATCTCCTTGGTGAACTGCTACTCTTTCTCATTAGCTAAACCTCTCATTGAGTCTAATACTAAAGGAAGGGACATAACTGTAAGCAACCAACAAGTCATGTGGGTGTAAAAATGCATAGACTGATATGTCATCTCAAGCCATTATAAGGCACTAGTAGTGGGCACTATAAATCCTGAGACAGGAAGTGCCTCACAAGGAGGATAGAAACTAGAATAGATAAGAAAAGTTTAGATGACCTCTAGCCAAAAGTTGACAAGAAAAATGCATATCGGTATCACAAAGGAAGTGCCCTGTGGACAGAGGCTGTGCCTGCCCTGATCATTCACTGTTGTATTTCCAGCCCTGCATTCTAGAGTCTCTATATATTCAAACACAGTAAGTAACTAGATGGATGAGTGAACATAGACAATTCACTCATTTGGGATTTATTCCTCCTAAGTGCCAGGCATTATTCATGCTTGAATATATAAGCTCAGTTAAGCCCTACAATAATACGCTAAGAAATAGAAGTACCATTGTCATTATCCCCATCTTCAAATGAGAAAACTGAGATGCATAGAAGTTAAATAACTTGCCCAAGATTACTGAGCTAATAAAATGTCAGAACTGAGGTCAGAACCTTAGCTGCCTAGTTCCAGATCCCATGCTCTTAACCACTAAACGATACTTTTATTTTTTATGTTTTTTTTCTTTTTTATTGTTTTTATATGTTTTTTTCTTTGTTGATTAAGGTATAACATATGCGTCCTTATTCCCCCATTGCTCCCCAACCCCCATCCCCACTCATGCTCTCACACCCCCCCACAATACTGACTTTTAGATGGTGATTATCGCTGGGAGTAGAGGGAGGACTAGACGATGTGGCAAAGAGGGAATGAGAAGAGTGGTTAGGGAAGGCTTCTCTGATGAGGAGACCCTGAATTAAGTCCTGAATGCAGAGGCTAGAGAGGGAGTTTGTCAGGTTGTGGGAACAGCAGGGGCAAAGGCCATATGACAAAAAGAGTTGGTGACCTTGAGAACCAAAAGTAGGTTATCAAGGTGACCACAGGAGGTCAGAGAGGTCGGCAGGCCTTCTAAGGAGTTTGGATAGAACAGACTCATCTTTACTAGGGGAGCTGCTGGCTTCTTTTCCATGCCGGGTTAATAATACCTGGTGACGAGCTCTGTTGTAGCATTTATTTCTGTTTTAGCCATTTGTTCCTCTGTCTCATCTTCTCTCCCTTTCTCCTAAAAAGACTATGTGTTTTTTAAAAATGATTTTGCATGTCTAGTGTTTGTATCAATTGCCACTCGTATCCATAGCAACTCGAAGGGCCCAACAATATTTGATGGATGAGTGAATAAATGAATGCGGGACTTAGCCCAATACTGAATTTGATTAGAACATTTGGAGCACACAGCTTACACAGCTATCTCCATTCCTTCCTTGTTGAACCAGCAGCTCCCTGCCCTTGCTGTTTCGCTCCTGCACTTGTAACACTGACCTTCAAGTCCCCTTTCAGCCTTCTGCCCCTGGCTAGACCATGCCACATACCAGGGGTCATGCCGACCTCAAGCAGTGTCTCAGCTTTGCCACTTGTCACAAGTTCTATGTGACGCGGCACAGGTGGCCTCGCTGAGCCCATCCCCTCTTCAGAAATAAGGATAGATAATGCCTTGCAGATGCTAGGAGAATTAAATCAAAATAATGCATATTCAGCATCTCAGAGACAGAAGTGTTCAACAATTGGTGCCTTCAAGTGGCATTCGGTACTGAAAGGAGCAGTGGATTTAGGAATAAGGCAGCCATTGGTTCAAATCTGGTTCTCCACTTACTAGTCACATTCCCCTAGAAAATAAATTTCAAATATGAGCCGCCGTTGCTTGTGTTTAGGAGGTGGTCGGTCTCATGAGCTAACTTAGGTGCAGAGTAGAGGAGATACACAATAATTAAAAGCATTATTAGGGTATTGTTACTATACTAGAGGCCCAATGCACAAAATTCATGCAAGAGTAAGCCTTCCTTCCCCCGGCTGCTGGCATGGGCTTCCCTCCAGCACCTGGGACCCAGGCTTCCCTCCAGCTGCCAGCAGACACCCGGGACCTGGGCTTCCCTCACAGCTCCGGCTTTGACCGGAAGATCGTCTGGAAGGACGTCCGGTCTAATTAGCATATTACACTTTTATTATGATAGATGCTCCTTTGCCTTGCCCAATGCCTGGTATAAGTAAGGGCTCAAAGGAATGTTTGCCAAATGTTTGTCTGCACAACTTAAATGACGAGAATATACTGTCAGTTCCTGTTCCCAAGACATGTCACAACACGCTGCAACTTCTAACACAAAGCATTGCCCAAGATACTCAAGTTTCAATAGGGTCACATTACCAAACATGTACTCACACAGGTAAATAAAATACAGGTATGAACTAATTATATTATCTCCTAATTCCAAAGCACAGACTCTCAAAATTCCTTCATTCGTAAATCATTGAGTTTCTATTGTATGTAAGGACTTGGGCTGGCAGCTCAGGACACACCACCATCTTAAAAATAAATAAAAATTTAGAAATGTTGCCTGCTGTCAATGAGCTCACTGGCTGGAGAAGCAGGAGGGAGAATGGGAAATACACCTGGGTTAGATAATTACCTTACAGTTATTAAGGGTTCTGGGTAGATAGTGAGCTGTTGAAGGGGCAAAACTCACACTGGTGTTGGGTGAGGGGTAAGAGGTTAGGGCATTTCAAGGGGAGAAACAGCAGGTAACAGGACAGGAAACAAGGTATATTATAGGGGAAAGTGTAATACAGGGTCGAGGGACCAAATAGCAAAGGACTTTATTCGTCACATGGCCTCTGGGCTTCACCCCATCCCTGAAAGATTTAGCAGGGCGAGTGAAGGAGCGTGGGTATGACCTGGTCAGATTTGCTTTGTGTTTTACAAAAATCCATCTGGCAGAAGCAGACTCTATAGAGTTTGGATTAGAGAGTCTGCCTGGCAGGGCAGGAGGCAGTTTTAACATCTGGCTGATAGATGTTGAGGGCGGTGGAGATGCCAAGGGTCCACTAAAGGCCCTTCCGAGCCCCATATCACATCTGGAGCTACTAAGGTCCCACTGATGCTGGCATTACTGGAGGAGGAAGTTGGGAGGTTTGGAAACAAGTGAGAGGTATAGGAATGATGCTGTTTTGGGGACAGGTTAGGGGGTTTGCAGGACCTTCAGATGGAGATGTCCAGTTATAGGGCCTAAAATTATTCTGAGACTTTGCAGCAAGTAGGCACTTTTAAAGGGCGGCGGGGTGGGGGGGGGAGGGCGCAAGGCCTTTGTGATAAAGAGGTAAATCTTAATTTCCTGCAATCTTGGAGAAGGAGTCCTCAGTGTGGGTTCTTTAAAAGAGGACAAAGGGGATAAACACTAACCTAGGAAGGAAGGCCCAGGAGAAAGCTGTAGTTGTTCTTGGATTACCCACCCACCCTGGGAGCTCTCGTTAAAGGGGGAGGGGGAAAGTCTAAGGGGCGCAGGACGGCAGCCAGTTGCATTTTTCCTGTGGGATTTTAGAAACAAGAGGATGGAGATTCAACAAACTGAGATCCGGAAGGAACGTTGTGTATGATCTAGTCCAGTCTCTCCCCTTTCACTGGGACCCAGGGAGGTTACATAAACAGCCGGGGTCATTCAGCCAGTACCAAGCAGAACCAGACTCAGAACCTAGGGGTGTTGATTCCGGGTCCCCAGCTCTGCCTGCCTCGCAGTTAGTTCTACTTGCTATTAAGAGTGGAAGGGTCTTATTTAAGACAGACGGACCAAATGTAAAGTAAATTTAGCACTGGAGTTCTATCTTCTCCGTGGGGTAATGGGAGCCCACGTGGGGAGGGGTTAGAGACTTGAAGAGTGCTGTGGGTCCGATGACAGAATATTGGCCTCTTATATTCTGGCAACGGGCCTTCTGAAGTCTGCCTTGCTGTTGAAGCTGCGCCTACAGGCCATGCGGACCAGCACACCAGTGAAACCCGCAATGTTGAGAAGTGACCCTTTCACTCACTTCTGGATAATAAATACTGGGTGTGTTCTTTTAAAAATCTATTCTGATGCAACCCCTGGTATCTTCCTAGTGAGAGACTTGCGGAGAAGCAGAGGTTGGAATGTAGTAAAAAACAAACAAACAAAAAACATTCGAGATGAATGACGATAGGGAGGTGGATTGCTGGCGGAAGCGCCTGGAGGGAGCGTGAAGGGCTTGACCTTCAGACCCCGGCAGATCGAAGGCCTTTCCCGTTGCTAGGGCCGCCAGCGTCCTTGGTTACCACTAAAGGGGCTGCGCTCTCTACAGCTCACTCGGGTCGGAGCGCATCCCCAGCGCCGCCTCGCGTCGCGGGAAGAAAACGGCGCCGCCAGCAGACACCTGCCGGTCCTGCCTTCCCCGCAATCACAATCCCGGGGGCTTTGCAAAGCGGCACCCCGATGCCAGGCCTAAAAGCCCCCCGCGGAGGGCTGTGTAAGGAGGGAAAGCCAGCCTAGGCTCTCCCACGCCGACTCACGTTGTAATCCCTCTGCCAGCGCTCCAGGTTCTCGTACATCGTTCGTAAAAAATCGTTGGAGACCAGTTTCCTCAGGGTTTCCGCCATCGCTGGTTTTTCCGGTCGGTCCGGCTCGGGGAGATGGAGACTTGGAGTGAACGAGTCGGTGGCCTCCGCTGGACCGCAGGGCGACTGGGCGGGAAGGGTGTTATCTTCCTGAGGGGCTCAGAGTTCGGCCGATGTTTCCATCCTCCCCCTCGGGTCTGACCGGGCAGGGTTTGGGGAAGCCGGGGGGAGGTGCCCTGGGCCTCACCCGCTGCCCGGCGCGGTCTCCTGGCTCCCCCGCGGCCCGCCGCGAGCCCAGGCCTTAAATCCCCGGGCGATTATT